GCCGCCGCCCCCGGAAGGTATGCGGCCGGGCTGGGGGCTGGTCTAGGGCGGGCGCCGCGCTGGGGGCAGTGGCTTCGGGGTTGTGGGTGTTTGGAAAGGTTGCCGCGGAGGGGGCTGGGCGCAGCCACCCTGTCCCGAGCAGATGTTCTTACCTCATCGCGGAGCTCGTGGCTGGGAGCCAGGGCTCCTGGGACCGGTCCAAGTCCCCGCCTGGGGGTGGGAGGTGGGAATGTGGGGCGCGAATCTTGCCTCCGGGTCCGTTTTCCGAAGTGTAACGGGAGCTGCACCACTCCTGCGCGGAACCCCCATGCTCCCACGTTTCCTTCCCGCGCGCCCCGGGACCCTTGAGAGTTCTTGGCTGAGGGGTTAGGGCTGTGGAAGGAGGGGAACTTCGGGAATGGGGTAGAGGGGCGCCTGCTGACTGCCCTCTTTCTCCTTCCTACCCCAGACCTTCCCTTACCACCTCCTCCCCTCCTTGGGGATGGCGAGGACACGGAGGGCACCCTGGGAGGTGCCTTCCCGCCTCCCCCTCCCCCGATCGAGGAGCCTTTCCCCCCTGCACCTCTGGAGGAGGAGATCTTCCCCTCCCCACCGCCTCCACTGGAGGAGGAGGGGGGCCCTGAAGCTCCCATCCCGCTCCCACCACAGGTACGGGGTCTGGGAGGGGCAGCTAAACCGGGACCTCCCCCCCAACCCCTCAGGAAGGAGAGGAGGGTCCTTTCTGACCCCCTCCGCACCTCCCCCCTGATGGGGGAATGAGGACTGGGATGGGTGTTCTGACCCTTGACCTTCTAGCCCAGGGAGAAGGTGAGCAGTATTGATCTGGAGATAGACTCTTTGTCCTCACTGCTGGATGACATGACCAGGAATGATCCCTTCAAAGCCCGGGTAAGGAACTGGAGAGGAGGAAAGGAGTGGGGACAGAAGTGGGGAGGGCTGCACCCTCCTCCAACCACACTTCTCTCCCTCTCCCCCGCCCCTTGCAGGTATCATCTGGATATGTACCCCCACCCGTCTCCACTCCATTCATTTCCAAGACCAGTACTAAGCCTGCAGCTGCAGGCACAGCAGCCCTGCCTCCTTGGAAGGCCCCTTCTAGTTCCCAGCCTGTGTCCCAGGCTCAGGCTCAGCCTCCGAGCCAGGCACAGTTCCATGTGCAGCCCCAACCCCAGCCCCAGGCCAAGCCTCAGGTCCAGCTCCATGTCCAGTCCCAGCCCCAGCCCCAGCCCCAGCCTGTGCCTTTGGCTAACAGTCAGCCTCGAGGTCCCCCAGCCCCACCTCCAGCGCCTAAGTTTTCTCCAGTGGCTCCCAAGTTTACTCCTGTGGCTTCCAAGTTCAGCCCTGGAGCCCCAGGTGGACCTGGGCCACAGCCCAGTCAAAAGTTAGGGCCCCCTCCAGCTCCCTCTTCCACTGGCACAGGCTCCCCTCAGCCCCCCAGCTTCACCTATGCTCAGCAGCGGGAGAAGCCCCGCGTGCAGGAGAAGCAGCACCCAGTGCCCACACCGGCTCAAAATCAAAACCAGGTGAGGCAGGGTGGACCAGGCTGAGACATGGGTGCTGGGGACCGGGGATAAGTCAGGAGCCAGAGAATGAGGGCAAAGATGAGTGGGTGGGGATGGTGGGAGAGGAGTTTCCAGCCTCTAGGGTTGGACTGGTGGGGTGGGGTGGGGCTGGGTGTGGCTTGATTGGGAGTGGGAGCAGCACAGGCTCTGAATTAGGCGGAGGGTTTGGTGGACCATCCCTTCCCCCTTCGACAGTATCTTAGAGGGGAGGATGACCTCATCACCAGTCCAACCCTGGTTCTTCCCCCTTCTTGGATTCTTGAGTTAATCTCTCTTTCTCTGAGCACTCTCACTGCCTGGGGGTGATAAGAGTGGCTGCACTGGCTGAGCCAGCATCTGCTGTGTGCCAGGCACTGTGCTCTGTGCTCAGGATGGAAGAGATCTCTCAAAGAGGTTAAGCCTGAGGGAGTCAGCTGGACCTGGGATAGAATTCCCAGCTCCCATCTCACAAAATCCTAGGCAAGTGAGGTGAACTTTGAGCCTGTTTCTGTCCTTGAAATAACATTATCCATCCCAAACAATGGTTGTGAAGATCAAGGGGGCTAACGCATAGAAAGTGCTGAGGGTCTTTGTCTAGTACATGAGTGCCCCAAATTGAAAAATTCGCATTCCCATCTTTTAGTTCAGGAGACGAGAGTGTCTGAATTGAAGGGACCCTGATGGTCATCTAGTCCAACCAGCGACAGAGTAAATGGACAGCAGGAGTGTCTGGCTCTGTGTGTGCAGGCACGGATGGGGCAGGAGGAAATGCCAAGGACTCATAAGTTGTGTAGAATTCTGTGTTACAGAAGCTCCAAACAGGGAGTCAACATGGGGTGGCCAGTTAGGAAAGGCTTCCTGGTGCTGGTGTGCTCTGAGGGATGGTCGGACTTAAGAATCCAGAGAGGAGAGTGAAGGACACTGGGGTGGGAATAGCATGAGCAAAGCTCAAGGGCACAAATATACCAGAGTGTTGTTTGGAGACTAGAAAGTAGAAGGTTCCTCTGGGAAGTTATAGAGCCACAGAGAGGTAGGTGGGAGCTCGAGGGAGCCAGTCAGATCTGGCAAGTCCTTCATAGCTTTCGAGTGTGTGAGTGGGTTGGAGGACCTGTGACAGCCGTGCTTTTGGAAGCTTTTGGGATAGTGTTTACAGCAGAAGTGTGTATTAGAGGTGGGAGATTAGTGACTTATGGGGGGATAAGAGCTGTCAAAGCAAATGCCTCTAGGACAGGGGTGGGCAAACTTTTTGACTCGAGGCCCACAATGGGTTCTTAAACTGGACCGGAGGGCCGCAACAAAAGCATGGAGTGCGGGGGTGGGGGGAATGAATGACAGTAATGCTGACAAAATAGAGAAGTCCAGAAGGGGAAATGCTTTCGACGGGAAGAGGAGGGGTCCAGCTGTCAACATATTGAGCAACAGGCTCCAGGAGGACTTTCCTTCAGCTGGAACTGTCACTCAGTTAGAAATGGAGGGCCGGGTGTTAGGAGAGGCCCGGGACTCAAGGTTGTCACAGGGCAGTGGTACTGAAGCAGCCCAGGGTGCTTGCACAGCAGGAGCTGCGGGCCTGGGAGGAACCTGGTGATGCTCCTGCTGGTCAGGTGGGAGGGGAACAATGGCAGAAAAGGAGGAGCATCATGTCAGGGTGGGATCTTGGGGGACAGATGTGATGGCTGAGAAGCCCTTCGGTAGGTTTGAGGAGGATGAGGACCAAAGGAAGGTCACAGATTTGACTGTTTGGAAGCCACCGAAGGCTGTGGGGTGGTCCGTTTGTACCCTTTGGTGGGACAATGAAAGGAGTTGTGGACTGCTAGGGCGCTGAGGAAACAGAGTTTCCAGAGTGGCCTGCTCTGGAGGGTTGGCAGAAATGGACTAGGGCAGGGCGTGTGCCTGTGTGTGTGTGTGTGTGTGTGTGTGGTTTTTCATGTTAGGGGACGGGCTCAGGTATGTGTTTGAACCAAGAGGAGGAAGCTGGTGCAGGGGGGTTAGAGGTGCCTGAGAGCAGGGGCTGCTGCTCCATGGAGTCTGGAGGAGAGGGGGTGATAGCCCCCCTGCCTTGGCGTTCTTGGAGAGCAAGGACAGAGTCACCACAGTGTTTCTGTGGAGAAGAGGAACACTGAGGGAGCTCGAGCTGGCCAGCTTCCATCTTCTCAGTCATGTAGGAGGTGAGGTAATTGGTGAGAGCGAGGGGCTCAAGGGGATGGAAAGGTTTGAAACAGCTGCTGTGGGGAAGGAAGGCCACTGGGAACCCGCAGGAGGCAAAAGCCAGACAGCCGAGCTGCGGGTGACTGGGGCCGAGGTCACCGAGGGCCCTGCTGTGTTTTGTGTTTTGTGAACTCACTCTGCAGCCTCTATGCCTACTTCTGTAGCCTGAAGGCAGAAACAGGAAGCGGGTGGTGTGGCCTGGGCTGAGATTGGGCCAGATAAGTGAGGTGGCCCAGGGTGGCTAGAGGGGCTGGGAAAGCCTTGTAGAAATAAGATGGTCAT